ATGGTTGATATGGTTCATACCATGACTAACTGTGGTTTACTGTATGTGGCATGTCCACGAATCATATTCTCACTGACAGACTCAAATATGTCAATTAGGAATTCATCTGATTGTCATTAATGTTCCTGTTGACTCCATGTCAGAGAGAGTACAGTGAGACCAAAGCTGAGGGTTGTGGACATACGCGGTAGTTTTGCTGATGTCTTGGACACTCTGCAGAGGGTCAATGGAGTCAGGGCAACGCAGGACGCAGGGGGCAAACACGATGGCAAGAGCGTTGGCTGACATCCTGTTGGTCTCCTCCTGCAGTGTAATCCTGTACAACAACATTACAAAGAACTGGTTAGCACCAGTTTGATATGAGATCGAGGAGGATGTGAAAGCCCTGCAGGCAAAAATAAAGAAGTGAGACCTAACAGAGTTAAGTTAATAAAGAAGATTCTCCGTCAGATCCTGTTCCCAAACCTAATTTTCAGAGTCAGACTGACTGTCTTCTCTGTGGACCTGACCCACATCTCACCTGACCAGATGGAAAATGAGGCGCTCCAGTGTGCTCAAGTGTGTCCTGCTCAGCTGGTCGATGACCGAGTACACCCCTCGGATCACCTCCCGCTTGTCTGGCTGACCTGAATAGAGACAGAAACACACAAAAAAAATCATCGTCGCGACCAACGAAAACCCTGTATTAATCCCTCAGCCGTTCCTTCCTTTGGGAAATGAAGGAATTACTGCGGTGACGTGACCAATTCTTTGATTACCCATGGCTCTCAGGAATTCCTCGTACAGTTCAAAGGTCATCAGAGGGCTGGGCAGGTCCCGCAGCCACTGTTTGAGAACACTGGCAATGACGTGGATGTTGTAGTCGTCCAGATTCACACTGTTCACATCTGAGAGCACAGAGACAGAGTGGGTTTGGTTACAGTGAACTGGAAGGCAGTGGTATATTTAATTTCTGTATTAAAACAAAAAGTGGCCCAAAAAAATATGCAAACTGAAAAAAAAAACAAACAAACAAAAACAGTATCTCACCTGTGTCCAGACCCTGACGCAGTTCTTTAATCTTATTGGTGGAGCCCGACTTCCTGTAGATCCCCTCTGTGTAGAGGCCGTGCATCTCAATGTAGTTGATGAGTTTTTCCACCAGCTGAGGCACCGCCCGCTCCTCGCTGGTCAGCCGGGACAGCTCTACGCCAAACTGCCGAGACGACAGCTCTGGATCAAACTGGTGTTAGAACACGGAGAAACAAGGGGCGACATTAAGGCACGGCTGTAGATTCTGCAAATGTGTGGATTTTGTACCAGCACAACAACAGTTAATACATTTGACCATTAGAGCAAATTGAACTCCAGTCACTTGGTTCAACTGTTTTTGTAAAACATACCAAGCCAAAAATAAAATTGAACGCAAATTGAAATTGAACTTTTGTAAAACATACCAAGCCAAAAATACAATCTCCATAACTCCATACAGAATATAGAATTTTAAAGAACAATAAATCATATGGAACTGTTTTATTCATAAATAAAACTTCTTACATTCATTACTTATTATAAAAAAATTGAATTGTTGCTCACAAGGATGTGCCTTTATTTCCAAATCCATGGTATTTAGTTGGATTTGTACGTTTTGTTTCCCCTTCCCCATTTCACAACAGTTGAATACAAACACAGAAACAAAAGAAAAAACAGAAATTATAAGAAAGAAAAAAAACCCTACCTTTTTACTGCACTTGGATGTCATCCTGGAGCAGCATTTTCTGTGGCAGGCGTAACGGCACACTGCAGACACCAGAACGACACAATCACACTGAGACTGTAACACCAGAGCTGGCAGAGACGGTCGGTCAGTCAGTCAGTCAGTGAGTCAGTCAGTCAGTAAACAACTGCTCTGTAGTGACGTCCGTGCTCTGAGTGCAGTTATAACTTTGTAACAAGATAAAAACAAAGATTTATGAAAGGAGCTGCAGCTCTAATCGGATTTCTCCGGCACTCAGAGAGGCGGCGTGGCTGTGTGAGTTTTCGGGGCAAGTGTGGATGCGTTTGTGTGTGTGTGTGTTGTAGAAGAGGGTGTGATGTACTGTAAGAGTGGAAAATAAACTCCACACAGGGGCGTGAGAGAGAGGAGAACATTAGCAACGGCTGCTGGAAAATATGTCTCTGTTACACGTGTTATAGAGTAGATTCTAAAAGTCTGATTTGGGGATTTGAGATCCTCACGTTTGCAGACGCAGGCTCGGTCCATCATCCAGATCAGAGAGGAGCAGTACTCGCAGTAGGTGGGGATGCTGTACTGGGTGGACTTGAAGATGTGACCATTGTGTTCCTCCACCTGCAGCGGGTTATTGCAGTTTATTTGTACATAAAAACATGTTTTTTGTGTCTAAATGAACCAAATTACATTTGAACTTACAACGTCTGTGTCTTTCTTCCTCGACTTCTTGCGTTCTCGTTTTAGAGCCTGAAAAATAAATAAGTTAAAAATTGAATAATTAATATGCAGCACAAAGACCTGGAAAAGCAAAGAATGAGGTGGAGTAATAAAAATAATCATATTTATCATTCAATTTAACATTCACAACAAAAATGTATATTATATATATTAAAATAATATAAAAAGATCATGTTTTATATATATAACAAATATATATATTTAATTTACACTGAATTAAGATTCATATAAAAGAAGAGCTCAGTAAATGTTTATTTCCTGGTCTTAGACCATAACTTTTGCCCTTTCGACAGTTTTAATTATATTTACCATTAATAAATCATTGGTGATTGATATAAAGTATTCCAAACATCTCACCCTTCCGACGGTCCCCTCCATGGGCTTAAACTCTGTCATGAACTCATCCAGGAACACCTTGAACGTGTTGACCCACACTTTGACGGGCGACTCGCTCCAGTCTCTCTGCTCCAGACGCATGGTCTTCTCCAGGATGTGCTCGAACAGGGCATAGAGATCCTTGTAACGGATGCTCTTCCCATCATCCATCTGGTGTCAAGGCACAGATTTACACGGTTCAGAATCACAGCATCAGTGAAATTAGCTGCGTTAAACACAAAAACACTGAGGTCAATCGAAGACTCACAGCCAGAGCAGTGGAGTAGGAGTTGAAGATGTTGATCCTGAACTCCTTCAGTGCCTTTTTGAAGACCACGTCAACCATGGTGTCCTTCTTGCTGTCTTCAGAGTCAAGGTCAGCAATCTGGACAAAACACATGGTCTTTAAGTAAAAAGCTCAGTTTGACGAGAGGTGAAACAGGAGGGAAAAAATACAAGCCATACCAACTTAGCTGGTATGCCTTATTCAAAAACCTGTTAATTGGGCATACAGGGAAAATCGCCTCCTGGTGGCTTAAAGCATAAACTGCAACAACTCCAAAAATGATGGATGTTGTTTCTAAGACAGTGAGGGCAAAGTTGACTTTTCTACATCAACACCATGATTTATTTCCCAAAAATTAAAAAAAAAAAACAAAGAAAAAAATTCTTTATTGATGCTCCTCCATTTTATTGTTAGCTTGAACAGCACAGCTTTGCTCACAGCTCACTTCTGTGTGTGTGGGTGTGAGATTTCACCTTCTTCAAGAGAAAGTCGTTCATGCTGCGGAAGTCATGGGCTGACGTGAGGATGTGCAGTGCGTCGTTCTGCCACTGGGCGGGTTCCAGAGCAATGCTGCTGATCTTCACACTGCGACGTCGCCTCATTTTAGGAGATGGCTCCTTGTTCTCTTTACTGTCCCTGACGCTCTGAGAGGACGCCTCCTCCAGGTCAGGACTGTGAGGAGGAGACAGGTCTTCTGGGACACAAAAAAGAGTTCGAGTTGGAGACCTTTAACAATCATGGTCTGTGTTTTAGCTGACTTATTTAAAATTACCACATGTTTCCGTTGATTCGCTTCTGCTCGTCTGCTTTTCTTTGGACAGTTTTTTCTCTCCTTGCTTGGGTTTACCCCAAAATCGCATCTTCCCTCTCCTCCTGCTGGAAGACAAACACAACAGTTAAAAATGATCACATTCTACACCCTATCACAGAGCAGTGTCACTGCAAACACTTCCATTAAACACTACCTCCATATGTCATTGGTTTCAAGCTAATATTGAAGTTTTTAAAATGTTTTCTGTCAGGAAATTGTTCAAAAAAAAAACAAAAACAGCATGGTGTCATCGACATAGAGTGTGAGTGTTTGAATGGTTTGTCACATCAGAACATCTGCCTCCTGACCCTAACAGGTCCGGTGTAAATTATTTTTGCAAAAAAAAAATGCAAAAGTTAGAATCCTTACGTAGTTAGATTCAAGTTTCAAGTTTCCAAATAGTGAACTTTTTTTAACCCTTACCTCGACACCTGCTTTTGGAGTAAATGAGTAAATGACAGTAATAAGACTTTGAGTGATTTCTTTGTAGATAATGTTTGAGAATCTACCTTCCGTCTTGACTGGGCGTTTTCCTGAGGACGTCCACCTTGCCCAGGTCTCCTGATGACATGGTCTTATGAATCTTCTTCTGGTCTTTATGAGACTGGACAGCAAAAAATAGACATATTAGAATGATAAGAATAAAAAACAACAACAACACATGTTTGGACTTTAATGAGCTGAGTTCAGACTAACTCAGCTCATGGTCACCTGACTCACACTGGCAGATGCAACTTTATATCACAGGTAAGTTTATAATACAGGTGGATGGTCGAAATACATGCAAAATGAATCATGTTGTGTTTAAAGGAAAATATTTGGTTATATAGAGTTTATAACATTAATACACTAGTACTACTGATATACTAGTAGACAGAGTCAGGAACAGAAACACAAGTCATGCTTTAGGATCTTGAAGACCCTCCCCCCCATTCAACCCCCCCAAACAAAACCCCCCAAAAAACGGCGTTGTTAGTTGACGTTACTCATTTCGAGGTGTGACTGACTCCAGCATGCAACAGCAGCAAACTGGGTGGGATATTGGGAGGGGTCAACACTGTGGCCCCCGATGGAATATGTATGGGGGGTGCCTGCGGGGTATGTTCTAAAAAAAAAACTAGTCAAAATGTGGTCCCCCCGATGGAATATGTATGTTCTAAAAAAAAACTAGTCAAAAAGAGGGTGAAGAATTCTACTGTTACTGTGCTTTTTGAATCAGTTAAACTTCATGTCATGATATTCAAATATGTTCAATGAATGTCAATTGATTGGAATCATGGAAAAATCAACCCTAAAACCTTGGACTGGGGCCTGACTTCAGCCACATGCCACTACTACAGCTGGACATCAGAGAAGAGAAGGAAGACTGTTCTGTCAGTCTGTTGTAGTGAAGCGAGGAAACGTCAGTCTGCCCGTCAGCAGCAGAGGGAGTTAGAAGGGTTAAAAAAAAGGGCTGCCTCAGCATCTCCACCTGAGACGAGTGGTGGAGCGACAGGAAGTTTGTCAGAGGGTCATGGGACCTCTGGAGATGACAGGGTATTTTACCATCTCGGAGTCACTGTGACAGTCGGCTTCGGGGTGGGTGTGTAAGGGAGACAGGGAGTGGGGCAGCGTGCACGAGTGGGAGGGGACGTAGTATTCGTCGTCGTCGTCGTCGGACTGTGTCGCTCCCTCAGAGTTACAGCGGGTGAGGAAGTCGGAGCGAGTCCGGGACATTCGTGCTTTCTTTTTAGGGCCCGGACGCCCCACCTGCTCCCAGGATACCACAGGAACATCGGGTCAGGAGCTTCAGGTTGTGTTCAATGTGTTTTATGTTTTTTTTTAAAGATACTGCGTTTGACAAAACTCCTCTCTGGTCTGTGGGCTACCTGTTATTCACAGTTGGATAAGGATGTCCGATAATATCGGTCGATATTAGATTAATTATGTAATATCTGTAAAAATCGTTATTGTTTTTATCCTCCGATAATGAAAACCAGATAACGCAATGCCTGGGTGTCGCCCAGATGATGTGACCTAAAAATAGTTTTGCAGTAAAAAGTCAAACTATTATTAGTATTGTGCACAGTATTGTCACTGTGAAACAGTACACAACTGTATTACAATGAAATGTGTACTCCCCCTTTAACCCAAATGACTGCAGATATCGGTTGATATCGGTATCGGAAGTTGATACCGGACATCCCAACAGTTGGATTTTATATAAATTGTAAAATGTCAATTTGAATGAAATCATAGTGAATCCCAACATATAGAATCTGTTTCCCTGCATTAGTGATGACACACAGACAGACTCTACATCACTGATCACATTATTTCATTCTTTTCTTTACAGTTTCTCTCTACTCCTTGAGTGGATGGTTAATAATCGGCCTGGAATAAACATGTTACATTCCTGGAACATCATGTCATGTCCATGTAAATACACTGCACGGTGTGTGTTTGTTGTTTGTTTGTTTCCCACCTCTGAGTTCGAGAATCCAGATGTTTTAGAGTAGTCTCTAAACATGGAGAACGATCGTTCATGATTCACCAAATCCTTGTCCGATCTGTGAAACAGCAGAAGAGAGCAGTGCTCAGATCAGTCGGACACAGACACTGAGTCGAACCTTTCAAATACTGATTTTTCGTAACGACTTTAAAGTTATTAAAGTCACATTCTAAATCATTTAAAAGTCAAAGGTGCTCACTTGGAAAACGGTAGTTTGCGTCGTGGTGGCGAGAAAACCATGCTGGGCGGTTTCTCCACCATGTTGACAATCACAGACTGGGCGGAGCTTTTCTTCTGAGCTTTGGGGGGTTTGGTGTCCAGGACTGGACTGGGAACACCCTGCGCTGGTTTGGACACAGTCTTTCCCTGCCGACCTGAGGGCTTGGCCTTCATGGTGATCTTGATGTCCACTTCTGAGGAACAAACATCTGGACTGGGACCATCAGCGGCTGAGCTTTCATCTAGACCTTCTCCCCCGGCCTGTGTAACAGGTCCTGCAGCAGATGTGTTTTCTGACGCCACCTCCAGGCCTGCAGCCACTGTGCTGCTGGGCTCTGGAGCTGAGGTTCCACCTTGAAGAGCTCCTCCTTCTTGTGTTTGCTCTGCCAGCAGCTTCACCTCATCCACAGGGCTCTCCTTCTGCATACTGATCAGAACCACGACAGGTCTCCTGGACGTGGACTGTCTTCGATCTTTGTGGGATTTTCTGGGGCTTTCTAATTTTGGCTCATGGATTGGACTTTGGTCAGAAGCGATGTAAAAAGTTGCCCTGGGAGCTTCCATCATTGGCTTTTCATTGTGGTTGGCATCTCGCAGACCCCCGTGAAGGTGACCGTCTCCATCTTCAGACTGTATCTGTTGAGGAGCAGTCGAACCTACGGAGCCTCCAGTCTCCATAGTTTCTTCACTGAAAAGTTCAGAATTGCCACGACTGGCTGGAGATCCTGGAGGAGAACGGCTGTGGTGTTCCTCCATCTGAGAACCGCTGCTCTCCAAGACTGAATCCTCGTGCACGGAACCTCCCATGCTGTTGCTGCGGACCTTCAGCAGCTCTAAGCTGAACTGAGCCTGCTCCAGCTCCCTCATCCGTCTGCTCTTTCGCTTCGATCGGTTCTTGTGGCTGTTCTCGTCGACGCTCCTGCTCCGCTCCGACTCCTCTTCTTTTTCTGTCTCTCCTGCGTCCAACATGACGGCACTGGAATGTTCTGAAAAGTCCTGGGCACAAGGTTCCTGTGTCACCTCTGTGACCTCCTCCATGGTTTGGTGGTCTATCACCACATCCCTCAGACTTTCATGCTGCTCCTTTAGGTCTCTGAACCTGAGAGAGAGAGACAGAGAGAGAGAGTGAGAGAGAGGAAAAGAAAGTACAATTAAAACATAGTACTACTAAATAATACTTGTACTTTTTTTACAACTATGGCCCACATTTTCTCAGGTTTTTATAATGGTACTACATCAGGACCTAAGGTCACCGAGGATCATGTGATCAAACGGCGACTCGTGTTTAGTCCCTGTACTCTAACCCTAACCTCAGCCGAGCCAGGTGTCCTCTGCCCACGGCCTGCAGCTGCCTCACGGTCCTGACTGTCCGACAGTAGAGACTCCTCTCTCTGAATCGTCTCCAGGCCGTTTGGAGCGTCACCGCTGCCGTCCACCTGCGCTGACGGCAGCTCCTCCAACTCCTCTGGATGACGACGGCAGATTCTCGCCACTGCAGGAACTTCCTGCGCTGCACGTAGCTCTTCCAGGCCGCCTGCAGACAAACAGCGGCCTCCTCCTCTATAGCGGAGTCAATGGCGGACTGCTTGAGCAGACAGCAGCGCCACCAACACTGCAGAAGAACACAGCACGAGGAGAAAACAGTTTAAGTTACAGCCAAAAAGCTGATTTTACACAAATCTGCCAGTTTTCCCTGAATGATTAATGAGCACAGAGAGTTTAGTTCATCCATGCAAATGAATTTATTTCCATTTCCTCGTTTCTTCAAGAGGTTAATGTGAAATTTGAAGCCACTGTATGAGTATGAAATTAATTAATTGAGCTGCAATGCTGCCATCTAGTGACTTTCACTTTAATGTACAGCTGTTTATCCCCAAAACTAATTCTAGACCACACATCATTATCTTACAGATATTACATAATAATGCAAACATCGGCCGATAATATCTGTTGACCAATATTATCAGACAGCCCCACTGTAAAGACATTAATGAACCACTGCTTCACACAGCCTCAGCGGTTTCAAGAATTGATTGATTGATTAAAGAATCCAATCCACAAAAACACCTTTGGAAAATGATGGAAATGGAGAATTCCACCTTGGATTTGCTACAACACAAACTGCAGCCACAGCAGAATGAGAGACAGCGGGTCAATGTGGAAAGAAGTCTGTGAGGTGTGTTCCTGGGATCAGGTTAAACTGATGCTGTGAGGAGTTCCAGTGGTTGTTGTGGATTTAAGATGAAGTGGCCAGGATATTTTACAGCCAGTTAAGAACAAAAACTGCTGGAGGGTTTAAATGTAGTTTCACTGAAGATCACAGGCAGAATTACAACCATCAGGAACAACAGGAGCCATAATAACACCTCCTCAAAGCGAGCCTCTCCGTCCTCCAATCAAAACATCCCACCTGAATGGTAGAAGCAGATCGTCTCATGTTGACAAAGTGCTTTCTCTCCAGCATGGCCCTGAAGCGACGCTGCAGTGTGACGATCCGTCGCAGGACCTCCTGATGGAGGAGCGTCTGAAGCCGCTGACGCTCCGCCTCCCGCAGAAACACCTTCAACAAACAAGAGCATTTTTCAACACCCAGACCTAGACTTCAACACTGGTCTAATCCAGGAGAACACACACACACACACCATGGTGCTGCCCACTTGATATCCAGCAGGTGGCAGGTGCACTTTTCTGAAGAAGTCCCTGATAGCAGACTTGGTTGGGCTCATGCCTCGAGGCAGCAGCACATGGAAGTGATGCACAAAGTCCTGAAACATTACAGATCAGATCAGGAAAAGTCTCTCAGGTCCCGACAGGTCAGAGTGTCCACAAACAGTTGGACAAAAGACAGGAAGAGAAGAAGAGGAAATACCTGGAACGTGTATTTGATGCTGTATCCCGACTGTCGGATGCGGACGGTCTCCAGCATTCCTGTGTATCTGAGCTGTCTGAGCACCAGACTGTCGTTGAAGCGCAGCGGCAGCTGAGTGAGACAGTAGAAGGAGGAATCAATAGAACAAAAGTAGAAGCAGACATCAGTGGCTGTCTCTGTTGGAGTCGGGCATTACCTTCTCAGCATTGGATCGAATGCATTTCACAAAATATGGCTCCGACTGATCCAGAGTCTCCATCAGTTTATTGAGGGACGCCTGCAAATGTAGACAACTCACATCATGTCTCTATGGGAAGACTTTTAAAAAAAGCTTTGACAGCAACTAGAGATAAGATATAGTAAGATTTAAAGGTTAAAACCAGTTCATTTAATCCAAATTCTAGAACTCTCTAGGACCATCATATAAAACCTTGTGTTTGACATGTTACATATTTATACATTCATTTTATCTTTTAGTTTATCATGTTAATATATTTTTAACTATAATTTTAATTCAAAATAACATTCTCTCCCGTCGAGATCAATTTTGTAATTCTCAGCACCGCCCAGCAGAGGGCAGCAGCAGCACTGACCTGGAACTGCGCACTGATGCTGGGAGGTTTCTTCTTCTTGTGCAGGTGAAGCAGAGACTTGGTGATGCGGTCGTGGAGAGTCACGCTGCTCAGGTGACGCAAAGACTTCACGTCCAACAGATGCTGCGCACATACAAAAAAAAGTTTAAAAAAAAATAATCTAAAGAATTTCTGTTGAGTTTTCAGTTCAGTTTCATCCTCTGTTGTTATTTTCTTCCAGGTCTCACCTTGGGGAGTGTCGACTTGCTTTTGCTGTTTTTGTTTCTCCTGAGGGTGGACATGGGGTTTCATTAGCAGACATTAAATAAAAGTCTTTTTTTTAAATTTCAGTAATAGTGCGAGGTGTTGCTGTCCTGTGTGTCTGACTCACATCAGGATTCCCTGAGCTCTTTCCAGGAGTTTGCTGTTGGTAGTGTTGAGGAAGATGCCATCCTCTTCCAGGGCGGGACTTCCTGTGGAGGACAGACGACTGGACCTGGAGCTGCGACCATTACAGCCAAGGCCGTAGCCATCCCTGTAAGAGGAGCGAGAGGAGGAACAGAGAGAGAGAGAGAGAGCGATGAAGGGTCACATGATTAGTATTGCATTGATGTGTTTATTAACTCCAACATTTTAAATTATTTTTTATTTTCACAGACAGAACATGTTCACCAGGTATAACAGAAATCAAAGATGTGATGTCCCTTCTGACTCACCAGGTGGCCTTCTCATTCATGGTGTTGGTGCCTTGAAGGTCGGACAGAGGAGTTCTGGGGTTTTTCCTTGTGATACCTGGAGACACGGAACAGCAGAACGGAGAGTTTACTGTCAAACCTGAATGCTTTTCATTCACTGGATTTATTGTTTTGTCTCAGTTCTGTAGTTTTTAGTGTTGTGAAAAAAATTCCCATTATTAAATGAGTTGAAAAAATTGGGAAAAAAAAGATTCTTCAGTCAAACTTTACTCACTGTATTTCTCATCTTTGCATCTCTGGAGGATCTCCAGGCTCCTCTGGTGAACAGGGTGGTGCAGGAAACTGAAGCTGTTGACAGATTTGACCACGGTGCAGGGGACAGGTGCGTCGTTCCCTAGGACGGATGAAAACGAAGAGAGCGAAGAAACGAAGAAAACAGAGTTGTTGTTGACAGTGGATCTAGATCGAAGTTCACTGTAGCTCTGATAATTCCACTTCCCAGCTCCAGTGTCTACAGAATACTCCCCTCAACCCCCCGGCCTTTACTCACCTGTCTTCTTGTGGGTGTGTCTGCAGCCCGCCTCCCTAAAAGCCACCATGGCCCTGAAGTAAGCTCGCAGCACGGCCCAGCGGAAAGTGGCCACAGGGTCGATTCCCATCAGGCCGCAGATGAAGGCGTTCTTGCTGCTCTTCAGCAAGGCCACAATGTCAGGACGCATGTGGTCGGTGTTCTTCTCCCTGAAGTCCTGAATGAAGACACATGAAGTGTGTGTGTGTCATTAAAACGATGGGCATGAAGTGTGTGTGTCATTAAACGATGGATATTTTCCTTCACTGGTTGATTCTGTCTGTATTACAGTTCAGATTAAAGAATCACAATCCCAGAGAAGAGCAGAGCAGTTGGTTTTTAAACCAGGATGTCAGCATCACTTTATGTTACAGAATTAGACCAACAAATATTGTTACTTATTTATTAAAATCTTATATTTTATATGAGTATGGAGCATCAGGAGTACAACAAAAGGCTGAGCTGCAATGTACGAGGAGCGGATTAGAGGATTTTTTTCCCCCTCCATATGATGGAAGTCAGCTGAGTGTTCACTACAGGGTCCACGTCAGGACTATTTCACAACGCCCGCGTGGTTCTCAGCCCGCGGCTCCCAGCAGATATGGGATACAGTGACTTTCACACAGCAACAGTAAACGACTGCGAGC